TTTTTTTTTTTTTTTGAGTTGGAGCCTCACTCCTCTGCCCAGGCTGGAGTGCAGTGGCACATATGCTCACGGTCACCCCAGTGTCGACCTGCTGGGCTCCGCCTTAGCCTTCTGAGTAGCTGGAACTATAGACACACACTACCACGCCCGGCTATTTTTATTTTATTGTGGAGACAAGGTCTCGCCAAGTTGCCCGGGCTGGTCTCAAACCCGCAGGCTCAGGCAATTCACTTGCTTTGGCCTCCCGAAATGCTGGGATTACAGGCTGAGCCACGGAGCTGGGCCTAGACCTTGTCTTTCCACAAAAATTTAAAAACCAGCCGGGCACGGTGGCGCATGCCTGTAGTCCAGGCAACTCAGGAGGGTGAGGCAGAAGGACGGCCTGAGCCCAAGAGGTACAGGTTTATGGTAAGTCATGATCCTGTCACTGCACTATAAACTAGGCAACAGAGTGATACCCTGACTCAGAAATTAAAAAAAAAAAAAAGGAAAGAAACCCTTAAGCAGAAAAGGGTTGAACATATCTAACTGCACTTTTTGTAAACTTCTTAAGCTAAAAACTTTTAGATCAACAACTATGACTGAAAGTAAAGACTCCTTCATCTAAGAGTCACAGTAAGCAATGTAACGTAACATTTAGATAAAGTGACTAAAATTTAATTCCAAGTGGAAAGTAGGTTGACAGAGAACTTGAATTTTGTGTGTGTGTGTGTGTGTGTGTGTGTGTGTGTGTGTGTGTTTAAATAGGAAGAGTACAAGTACCTCCATTATTCTCCTACAGAGATCAGAGTATTCTGAACTCATTTCCTTGGAATGCAGTGAGAATTAATGAGATGCTGATGTGGAAATAATGAAGTATCTTACAGAAAGACACACTGTCTTAAATCCAAGGTGTTTCTATCTATATAAGTAACTTAAGCAACTAGAATCCCAGATCACTGCTATAAGATTCTTTTTATCCACTCCCCCCCAAAAAAGGTAAGAGAAAAGGCATAAGGAAAAAAGTCAAACATAATTAAAAACAAAGAGGTGTGTGAAACAAATAGTACATAAAACATAGTTTGCTATATAAAACATAGTTTTCTCCTGTTAACAAAGCAATGTGTGTTTATCCTGGAGTGTTTTTTTTTTTTTTTTTGCTCGTGGAATGGAAATGTAAATAGTAACAAAACTCAACTGTTTCTTCTGTCTAAATTACACATATTAACTAATTTCTACAAACTGCCCAAATGGGAATAGCTCATCATTAACAAATAATAATGTAATAGGTTTTCCCTTTCAGATATTATGATTCTTTTTTTTTTTTTTAAGTTGGAGTCTAACTCTGTCACCCAAGCTAGAATGCCATGGCACAATCAGAGCCACCCCCAGCATTGACCTGCTGGGCTTTGCAATCCTTCCGCCTCAGCCTTCCAAGTAGCTGGAACTATAGGCTCGTGCTACCATGCCCAGATAATTTTTTATTTATTGTAGAGGTGAGGTCTCACCAAGTTGCCCGGGATGGTCCCGAACCCGCGGGTTCAGGCAATCTACTCGCCTTGGCCTCCCAAAGTACTGGGATTACAGGGTGAGCCACCATGCCCAGCCTGATATTATGATTCCTTTGGTTATTGTCTACCTTTAAAGTAAGAAGGGAGGATATCTATTTTTTAAAAGTTTAGTAGGCCGGGCGCAGTGGCTCAAGCCTGTAATCCCAGCACTTTGAGAGACCAAGGTGAGGGAATTGCCTGAGTCCATTGGTTTGAGACCAGCCCGGGCAACTTGGTGAGACCTCATCTCTACAATAAATCAAAAAATTAGCCAGGTGTGGTAGCATGTGCTGGTAGTTCCGGCTACTTGGAAGGCTGAGGTGAAAGGATTGCCTGAGCCCAGCAGGTCGATGCTGGGTTGGCCGTGAGCATATACCACTGCACTCCAGCCTACGCGACAGAGTGAGACTCTAACTCAAAAAAAAAAAGTTTAGTAAATAATGCTGCCAGTTTTAGGGTTTCTTGTGGCAATTCAGGTCCCTGAGATGATACCAGATTTCTGTTTTACAAAAGCTGATTTATTTTTGGAATCCCACAATAGATAACAA